GAATGAACGTTAAGAACGTTTAAGACCTACTTAAATTGGAGCCAGTTTGTCCATCAAAATTCCAGGAGATTTGTAAGAAGAACATAAATACATATGCCTTAAACTTTCCACGGTAAATCGGGTTCTTTCTAGCCAGCTAATTTTCTGATGATAATAATACTTAATTTGGCCCTAATTTGAATTTTTGGTTTAGAAGAAGAGTGTCCCTTAGAAATACCTTTGGGTATTTAGAAAGAAGAGTATCCCTTTGGGTTAGCTATGGGAAAAGTATTTGCTATGCCGAGAATAACGTAAATTAAAAAAAAAAAAATGTATTTAAATGCTTAGGTAGGAGAACACACTGTTCCAAGCACTTCAGAAGCACCAGTTTAAAAATTCAATGAGAGAGTAACAAGAAAGGAGGCCTGCAAACCTGGGCGGTAAATTTGCTGTGCTCAATACAACTCCTTACTTGACTGAGACCCTCTGGAGCCTCGTCCACCTGACTGTACAAACATCGGGTGATATTTCCTTAAAGAAACAGCTTATAAATCTCTTTTAACTCACATAGACTTCCAGCCTTCTCCACAATCAGACTGTGTTGATGAAGGCCTACTGAACTGTTTCCTCTTGGCTACCTTGATGTTGTCAGCTCAATTGGCAGTATTCAAAAATTAGGTATTTAAAAAATAAGCGTCATTCTCAAAACAAAGTAAATTTTCCATTTTTACCAACAATACCATGATATGGGAAAATATTCACAATGTATTTTGTTATATGCAGAAGGTAGTCAACCAAAGACATTACCATCACTACCAGTTTGACAAATAACATATATTGAATTATGTTAACTAATGGGACAAGAGTTGACTTTTTTCTTTCATTGTGCCTTTTTGTATTTTTATAAGTTTTTAACACTGAGCACATGTAATTAAGAAATGTGATAATACTTTCTAAAACCAGTGTCACAGGCTATGGTAATTTCCACAGTGACTTCGTTCTCATGCCCTTTGATGTGCAGCAACTCGGGCACCCAATGAGACAACCTCCCTCAGCTGTGTCTGTCTCTGGACAGAGGTCCGAGCATGGTCTAAGCATGTAGGAAAGGCAACTGAGGCAAAGTGAGTGACTTTCCCCCAAGTAGAATTACAGATATGTGATGGAAGAGCATGCCAAGCGCCAAACTATCTTCTTTATTTGTCGATTGAAAAGGTTTGCTTGGCTTTTGTGCAGGTCAAGCTACCAATTGAAAAACTGAATATCTCCTTTTTCAACCAGTTGATTTCAGCCCCCAAACAACTGTTGACTTAATATCCCAAAACTCCTTGGTTTCCTTGGACTTAGGGGAATGGGTTCTCTTAAGGAGCAGGTCATCCATGTGGGTGGTGGTGAGAGGGCCAAGGAATGTGGTTGGAGGGGACCAGGAGTGTTGGGCCCACCTAAACCATGTAGAAGAGGCTCTGTTATCCGAGCGAGGGGGGAAGGATGTTGGGCAAGCAAAAACAGATGCTCACTCTAGAGTAAAATGGAAATGATTTTTATATATAATAATTACAAAAATTCTATTGAAATCCTATCATATCCAGAGCCAAACAGAATGAATTTTCTCCAGTTACAATGTGGTAACCATGGTCGAGATCAGTAGGCCAGTCTGTCAAGGGCATTCTCTGGTTTCTCCCCACACTTACATTTGCTGCAGGAGACTTGCAGAAGGTTGGTGCTTTGCCTTTTAGTCCTGGAGATGCCACAGGGCCAGGTGTGGGTTGGAAATGGGGAACAAATAAAACTGTCAAAATGTGATTTGAATGGCCCTTAAAGCTTTTACATAATTTTGTGCTGGCTAAGCAAGAGCTCAGTGGAAAAGAGATTTTCACACTCTCCTCAAATGTCATTTAACTCTCATTATGTAGGCCTTGTGAAACATGACACTGGCAGTAATGATTCCTTCTTACTCCTCCAGGCATTTTGGCTGTTGCATGGGTAATAGGCCCCCGGGAACACATTAGCATTTGGCTGACAGGTGTTAGTAGGGGCTGTGGGGAATCAGTAGGAATCGTAAGGCTCTTTTTATCTCCAACTCAGCTTGGTGGGCAGTCACATTTGATAGTGGTTAATTGTGCTCCATTGTTTTGTTTGTTTCCTTTGTCACTAGGTGGTTTTGCCCTTAAGAGTAGGGGGAATGTGTTTGGGAGACATTTCAGAAACAGAACAGCAAGTTGGGTGTGGGGAGTGGTGGGGAGGAGCCATCCACCATGGCTGGGATGTAGATTCTTCTCATTTATTATTTACTAATTGCAGCTTTTTTTGTTGTTTGTTTGCGGTACGCGGGCCTCTCACTGTTGTGGCCTCTCACTGTTGTGGCCTCTCACTGTTGCGGAGCACAGGCTCTGGACGCACAGGCTCTTTGCGGAGCACAGGCTCAGCGGCCATGGCTCACGGGCCTGGCCGCTGCGCGGCATGTGGGATCTTCCTGGACCGGGGCACGAACCCGTGTCCCCTGCATCGGCAGGCGGATTCTCAACCACTGCGCCACCAGGGAAGCCCCTACTAATTGCAGCTTTTGTTGTCTTTTGCCTGGGAGACTTAAAAACAAAATGCCAACCCATTTTAAAAAATCAGCTTATTTGAGAGTTTGATTTACCTGGGTTCTGGTTAAGATTTGATTATTTATGTTTATGTATGGGTAGAGTTTCAGTTCATTATCTAGGTTACTCTTATGAAAAAACAAAACGAAGTTATCTAGGGAGCCTTTTAAATAAAATCTCCCAGGCTAGCCTGAGCCCTCTTCCACTGCCCAACCAGAGTCTTAGTTTCAAAGAGAGTCTTTCCATGAGGACCTCTGCTGCCCACCTCTACCCCAGCTCTCTGTCCTTCTTACCACAGCATTTGGTGGAGTGTTCGCTCCTTTACAAGTTACTTCCTGCTCCCCTTTGAGCTTGCTGTGTGGCAGAGCTCCTGCCTTCCAAGTCGCCCCCGTTTGTTCTTCTTGGTCTGTCTCTCTGGGGCTCTCCTGCTTAACAGTACATTTCAATGATAGTAAAAGCGATAATAAAATAGAAAAAGGCCTGCTATTCCTGTAGTTCACATAACAGAACTCTGTGCTTCTCTCTAAGACTTGCTGACTCATAACTGTTTAGAGCATGTCTAGAAATTAGGTATTTTCTCATCACTAGCCCCTGTAGTATGTTGAAGAAGAAAGCAAATCTGAAGCTTGAAATTTTAGAAGGCAACAGCCTTTCTTTCACTCGGGAGTGACTCACATTTTCTCCATGTTACAGTCAGAATGTGCATTTCCTACTTCCCCTGAAGTACTTGTGCAGTTATCAAAGTGGAAGCCTTCACATAAGGACTCTCAAATGAGTACTAAATAAAACTTTAGAGACGTACAATAATTGCGCTTTGTACCTTCCAAAGGGAAAACCCAAGTTAGCCAATACAGTACAATCCAGCCAATTCATTTTGAACTGCACTTGTGGGTCTCACCCCTCCTCATAGCAATGCTTTTATTTCCAGCTTGGTGCCCCAGATATTTCTGAATGATGTGTACAAGGCAGGAATCAGACCTATTAGGTCTGTGCTGCTAGTAAGTATGTAAAAAAAAACCCTCATGTCAGAGAAAAAACCCAAGATTTAGAAATCATCAGTCTCTGGAATGACAATGGATTAGGGGATGCCAAAAGAAGCAGGGACTCTGGGACAGGGGCCACCACAGGCCCTGTTTCCCTGGATTTAATAACATATCTCAACCCATATCCAACCAGATCAGTGGGACGGGGCTTTAGGCTTTTGCTCTTCCCTTTGGAGCCTGTGGATGTTCTGGCCTTTGTTCTGTTTTCCTAACATAGACCAGATAGCTCTGTCACATTGAACATCATGCTGCAAAGACACTGAGCTTTCAATGTAGGTTGCAGTCTCTGGCCCACTGCTGATGCTAGCATGGATCGTTTTTATGAAGTGATCCCAAGAACACCTGGTACTCTCCAACTTTGGCTACAGGGGAAAACGAACGTCAGAGTAAATGGAAATACAATGACCTGACCGGGCTCCCTCCCAACAGCAGAGGAAGAGGCCTGGGTAGAGACCTGTTATAATCCGCTGTTTAATTTTGTTTGGAGAAACTGGACTTTTGACAGATGAACTTCTTTTCCCCTGCATTCATATTTATCTAACAGAGTTGTGGTTGGGAAGTGATCCAGGATTCACGAGGTCGAAAAGTGACCTGGTTCACATACTGTAGACTCTCCCCATCTCCCTCCCAAGTTCTCCAGGCAGGTGGTCCCGTGCACTCTTGGTATGTCCACACCAAAATCGGTCACCCAAAGGACATATCAACGTTGGCCCTCAGAGATTCTAGCAGCGCCATCAAACACATGTCTCAGTTCCAGGTAACCAGCTTTACTGTTCCATGCAGCACTCAGCAGCTTGAAAATCATTAGAATGTGCTTGATGAATGCACATCTTATTACAAGGCATTTGGAATTAAAGCCATTAGTAAAATTAAAGAAATAGTAACACACTGGGTTTTTGTTTATGAGAAAATACATTTTCACAAACTGCCCAGTTGTATTCGTTCTTTCATTATCCCCAGAGTAAAAGAATGAAGGAATGTAGAATAAATAGTCTTAGCTTTATCTTTGAAAGTTTAAAACAATTTATTAAAAAAAAATCATAAGGAAGTTTTTCCGCCTCCTCCTTAGTCCCCTGGTTCCCTAGTGTATAAATAAGACATTTTTCCCTCCCTGAAACCCAGCCTTTGTGTTCTGTAGTCTGTGGTTTTGCTATTATCCAAATACTTATGGATCAGCATTGAAGATAAGCTTAGCAGACACGTAACAAGTACCTTTGTGATACCTGCTCACTTTATACCCATTTCTGGGTAGGCTACTTACACAGACTTACGTGAGAACAATTTTGCTTTGTTAATAACATGCACAGTGCTCACCAGTTCCTCATTCATTGCGGAGGTAGAGACCAGTGGGTGGCCGTTGGACTCACACATTTCCCTTTGTTGTATTTTTCAGAAATTGAGGCGAAGGAAGCATGTGACTGGCTCCGCGCTGCCGGGTTTCCGCAGTACGCTCAGTTATATGAGGGTAAGTTGGGCTTTTCTTCTCTCTTTATAAAGAGAATAAATTCAAAATATGTCCTGTGGTGTGTTTTGACTTCCAAATCTTTCTCAACCATTTTTTCTCCTTGCTTTCTCCTTGCCTCCACCTTTGCAATGCCCAGGGCTTATACTGATGCCGATTTAGGAATGAGGCTTGCTTCCTGAGCCTGCCTCACCTTTGGCCCCTCCCTGCTTCTCCCTTCTTTACTTCTTGCTTTGCTCTCACCTCTACCTCCGATCCCAGCTCTGCCTTTTCCTTCCAGTGTTCTGCCAACAGCAGCTTTTCTGCACTTCCTTCCTTATCCCTTTCCGTGTTTTTTCTTCACTCTCTGTTTTCTTGAAAGTACAATAAATGAATTGTTGATAAATTTCCTAGAAATCACAAAACTAATTTATCTTGAGACTTTTCTTGAGTTCTGTTTACTTAACCTGAAAATGCTTAAGATGTAACATGGATCGGATGTTATTTTTCAGGGTTTTAAGTAAGGTGCTTCTATTGCCAGCATCATACTTACTTCCATTGATGTTTTGACAGTTAATAAACGTACTCACCTTTATCTTACTGATACCTAAAATTATAACCAAAGCATCTGCTTCCTGGATAGTCGTATAGTGAATTAGTCAGGATCCCAGCAGTAAGCACACTCAAGACAACCTGAGGGGGATTTATTTCTAAAAGTGTTCATTGCAAAGATGTGGACAGGGCATAGGAAACCACGAGGAACAGTCCAGGAGCCCAGAGCTTGTAGCAGCAGAGCTGTCACTACCCTAGGCCCAAAGCCATAAATGGAGGGAGAGGGTGCCAGAACCCAGAAGGAGAGAGGATCTCAGAGCAGGCCCTAGGAGTGGAGGACACAGCTGGTGATGGCAGCCTCCCCGGGAGACAACCAGGAGAGTAAGTGCCCTGACCTCACACTCCTCCCTCCCTCCATCTCCAGCCAGGGCTTCCCATTGGCCAAACACAAAAGGAAGCAGAGGGCATGGATCCCCTTGAATGCCATCCACAGCTGATCCTGGGGCGCAAAGCAGTTTACAAAAAAGTGGAGAGTGAATCTCTAGGGGTAAACTGAGCATATGTAGTACACTATACAGTATAGACTTATGTTCCTGATGACGTAAAATTCATGTAGGATGGAAAGAATCAACAAAATTAACCTTTACTCACTGGTGAATCTCATCTATTCACCTAGAAGCTCAGTTTTATTTTAGAAAACAAACAAACAAACAAAAAACCTTCTACCTCTCTCACTTAAATTCTGAATGTGCTGTGAAGTCTAAGGTCTCTAATAAAAGCTTTCAAAAAACCATAGCCTTTTAGACGAGGAGGAGGGTCTTACAGTTTTGGTCTAAGCAGCCACTATTCCCCCACCCCCACCAGCAATGCACTAATTATGAGAGACCCAAAAAGGTTAAGTGACTTTTACAAGATTATAAAGTAGAAGAGTCAGAATGCTCCTTCATGAGAGAGATTTTCTACTGTAATGTGCACTCAAAATACTATGCAATTTAAATGTGAAGAGTCTATAAATGACTAAGAAGTAAAGATATCTCATAAGTGGGATGGGCTTGTCAGATTGTGTTTAAGCCATATGCATTTAATGAATGTAATAAGAATAAGAACGAATACTTTTATAGGGCTTACTATGTGCCAGCTACTGTTCAAAACACTGTACATGTACTATTCATTTAATATTCACAACACCATAGGGGAGGTATTATAATTATCATCATCCCCATTTTACAGATGAGGAAACAGAGTCCCAGAGGAGTTTAAGTGATTTGCCCACAGTCTACAGCTAGTGAGTAGCAGAGCCACGACTTAAAGCCAGAGCAACTGGGCTTCCATGTCTGTGTTCCTCATGACTACACATTAACTCCCTCTCTAGCAGAATGAGACAGTCTACATTCAGGAACTGTCTAGAATTCACTCTGGAATTCACTTTTTTTCACCAGAAGAGGAATTGTTTCTCTTTTCAACTTGCAATAAGAAAATTGGTACCCTTAGATTTATTGTGATTGACAAATATCAAATATAAGATGAGAAAGAGAAAGAATGGTAGGATGATGATAATGGACCAACATTGATGGTTAGATTTGGCCATGGACTTTATTCCAATGATCTCCAGATTTTTACCTCCACAAATGAGGTACCTAAAATTAACACTGTGACCTGAGCATTGCCCATGACCTCCAAATCTGGCATGAGTAGTCTGTGGGAGAAAAGTTACAATGTTGGAATTTCTCCTTTTTTATTGGATAGAATCAGTTGTTTGAGTATTTTGCTGACACTCCAAAGTGACTCAAGATTTTGTTACAAAATAAAATACTTGAGGCCATTGAACTTCCGGTATTTTCCTTTCTGAAGGAAAAAAAAAAAAAATCTGCCAAACTAAGTATTTCATGAACTGATCAGGACAGAAGTCAGCAACCTCCACCTTAGGTGGATGGTGAGAGTGGGAAAGTTCTCCATACAGGCAAAAGTCTGTGACAGTGGTGAGCTATAAAAATGCAGGCACTTGGTATGCAGTCCTATCCAAGGTCAAACACTTGGTTATTTTCATATTTCACACTTTTTTGTATTCTTAAAAGCATTTATTGGGCTAAAAGTAAAACTTCCTGCTCTCTAAACATTACCAACACACCTGTCAATGGGGAGTAACTGCTGTTAAGATGAGCCATGAGTACAGAAACATGGTGGCCTGAAGATATTGGTGCCCATTCAGATAAAACAAGGCGTATGAACTCCTTTGTCTCTCTTTGTCTCTTTCAGACTCACAATTTCCCATCAACATTGTGGCTGTCAAGAGCGATCATGATTTTCTTGAAAAAGACCTTGTAGAACCTCTTTACAGGTAAATCATGTGAAGTATTTTTGCTTCTTTTGATTGTTCAGTGTCTAATAGTTATCACTATGTTGAGTGCCGAGTTCAACAACAATTCAGTAAGTACTTATTGAGTACCTACTATATGCCAGGCATGGGTCCAGGCTATAAGTATATTATGGTGACCATGATCAGTCATGGAGCTTAAATCCTAGTAGGAAGCTTCAGACAATAGATTGGGAAAAAGAGAGAATGAGTGAGAGAAAAAGAGGGAGAAGGAGAGATTATCTCAGAGAGTGTTAAGCTATGTTAAAAAAGTAAAACAAACTGAGGCCATAGACAGTGATGGGGTGTGGGTGGGTTAGTGGGAGAAGGCATTGTGGGGGACCAGAGCATGAGTGGTCAGGGAGGGCCCTGTAGAGCTCCATGAGTATGTCAAACTCAGCTGTATTTTTTGCAAAGACAAATGATTATATCAGCAAACTAGAATATGTAAGCTCAAGTAATTATATCTGCAACCTGAAATATTTAAGCCTTCACTATGTGATAGATAATATAAGGAGACAAAGATGAATAACTCCCTCCCCTCAGAGAATGTCTAATCTGGTTGGAGAAATCTAACTGAAGAAATGAAGCATAAATGAACAAATAAAATAATTATAATTTAAGTAATAATAAAAGATACCAATGTAATCAATATTTCTGAACAATTAAATGTGCATGAGAGGTTCTATGTGTCTGTAGGAATTTGAAGTTTCCTAACTAAAGCCCTGGCGAGAGGTCAGAGCTGGAAATAAATATTAGTTACAGGAGGTGAGTCATTTTTCCAAGGCTACAGAGCTAGTTATGGGCTAAACTGACTTTAAAACTGCAGTCCTCATAACTTGCAATCCAACATTTTTTTCTCATACATTCTGCATTTGACATAGAAAAGACGGTAGTTTAGGGACTTCCCTGGTGGCACAGTGGTTAAGAATCTGCCTGCCAACGTAGGGGACATGGATTTGAGCCCTGGCGCAGTGGTTAAGGATCCGCCTGCCAATGCAGGGAACATGGGTTCGAGCCCTGGTCCAGGAAGATCCCACATGCCGCAGAGCAACTAAGCCCATGCACCACAGCTAATGAGCCTGTGCTCTAGAGAAAGCCCGTGCTCAGCAATGAAGACCCAACACAGCCAAAAACAAAAAAGAGAAAAGAAAAGATAGTTTAAGAGGAAAGTAATGATGAGGAAAACTTTTGTCAAGATAAGGACACACCAATATATATTAGAATAGTATATAAATAACCATAGGCTTGCTGATTCTGTAGATATATATATTTCTGCGTTCATAAGCTGGTTACTCTGGGATTCCTATATGAAGATAGATTTGCGTTAAGGAATGATCTCTGAATGTTGAAGGAGAGCATTACTGTGGGTTTGCTTAAGTGGGTAGAAGAGCAAAGAACTCTTTAAATCACAAATTGCAGGAACTGGCTATTTGGACTCAAAAACAAACAAGCACAAAGTGCCATTTGTGAGCATTTACGAGAAGAATGGGTAGTTTGGTTGTAATTCTTTTTTTTTTATATATATATAAATTTATTTTATTTTATTTTTGGCTGCGCTGGGTCTTCGTTGCTGCATGCGGGCTTTCTCTAGTTGCGGCGAGTGGGGGCTACTCCTTGTTGCAGTGCACGGTCTTCTCATCATGATGGCTTCCCCTAGAGCACGGGCTCTAGGTGCACGGTCTTCAGTAGACGCGGCACGCGGTCTCAGTAGTTGCCACTCAAGGGCTCTAGAGCGCAGGCTCAGTAGTTGTGGCATGCAGGCTTAGTTGCTCCGCGGCATGTGGGATCTTCCCGGACCAGGGCTCGAACCTGTGTTCCCTGCATTGGCAGGCGGATTCTTAACCACTGCGCCACCAGGGAAGTCCTAGTTGTAATTCTTTAGAGGTAATGAATTGGAAAAGCAGTGTTTTCTCCTCAGCATGTCTGATGCACACCAAGGCTTCATCCAACTCAGAACTATTGCACCACCACCTCATCCTGAGTTTTCCCTCTTAGTTTTAACCAAGAGTATTTTTACTAGTAAGCTGGCATTTTTTAAAAGAAATAATTTTTATTGTTAATTGTATTATATTACATTATCTTTTTCCCAATTGAATTTTCTTGCATACTCATAGATCTTTGATTCTCTAATCATGGCTTTTGTTGTTTTTTCCCCCAGTTTTATTGAGATATAATTGACATACAGCACTGTATACGTTTAAAGTGTACAGCATAATGGTTAGACTTACATAATCATGAAATGTTTACCACAATAGGTTTAGTGAACATTCACCATCTCATATAGATACAACATTAAAGAAATAGAAAAATAAAATTTTCCTTGTGCTGAGAACTCTTACGATTTACTCTCAACAGTGTTCAGATATGTGACACATACAGCAGTATAATTATCTTCATCATTTTGTACATTACATCTCTACTACTTATTTATCTTATAACTGGAAGTTTGTACCTTTTGATCACCTTCATCCAATCCCCCCTCCTCCCACCTCAGGTAGCCACAGATCTGATCTTTTTTCTGTAAGTTCGTTTGTTTTTGAAGTATAATTGACCTACAACTCTATGTTAGTTCCTGGTATATAACATAGTGATTCTATATTTCTATACATTTCAAAATGATCACACAGTAAGTTTGGTTGTCATCTGTCGCCATACAGAGATATTACATAATTATTGACTATATTCCCCATACTGTACATTTTATACCTGTGACTCATAATTCTGTAAACAAAGATTTGTACCCCTTAATCTCCCTTACCTATTTCTCTCCTCCCTCCACACCCCTCCCATCTGGCCACCACCTATTTATTTTCTGTATCTATGACTCTGTTTCTGTATATTTGCTTATTTTGTTTTTTAGATTCCATATATAAGTGAAATCATCCCAGTTGAATTTTTAAATCTATATTTTCTTTAAGTCAAGGTGTTCTGTATATTTATAAAGCAAAATTCACTATTTTCAGTGTACAGTTCTTTGAGTTTTGATAAATGCCTACAATCATGTAACCACCACCACAACCAAGATATAGAACAGCTCCATCACCTAAAAAAACTCCCTGGTTCACCTTTGTCATCAACCTACTCTCAACCCTTGGCAACCACTGATCTGGTTCTTGTACCCATAGTTTTGCCTTTTCCAGAATGCTATATAGGTGAAATCAAACAGTATGTAGCCTTTCGAGTCTGCCTTTGTTTCACTAATGCACCTAAGATTCATCCGTGTTGCGTGTATCAATCAATATAATTGCTCAGTAGTATTGCGTTGTGTGGATATACTACAATTTGTCTATCCTTTCACCAGATGAAGAACATTTGAGTTGTTGCCACTTTGGGTGGCTATAACACCCCTATAAACATTCATATTCAAGTTTTTGTGTGTACATAAGTTTTCATTTCTTTTGGGTAAGTTCCTAGGAATGGGATTGTGGGGTGCATATGATAAGTATATTTGAACTTTATCAGAGACCACCAAACATCTCCAAAGTGACCATACCATTTTGTATTACCACCAACGATGTATGAGAGTTCCAGTTGCTCCACATCTTTGTTGGTACTTGGTGTTGTCAGTTTTTGTTTTGTTTTGTTTTTAACCATTCTAATAGGTGTCTAGTGTTTCTCATTGTGATTTAAATTTGTATGTCCTTAATGAGTAATGACGTTGAATGTCTTTTCATGTACTTATTTGCCATTCATATATCTTCTCTAGTAAAGTGTCTGAGGTTTTTGCCTATTTTTAAAATTTGGTTGTTTGTTTTCTTATTGAGTTTTTATATTTTTTGCCACTCTGTAGCTTATTTTTTCAATCTCTTAACAATGTCTTTTGCAGAAGTTTTGAATTTTATTGGAGTGCAGTTTATCATTTTTTTTTCATGTTTTTAATGTCACACCTAAGAAATTTTGCCTAACGTAAGGTCACAACTATTTTCTCCTTTGGTTTTCTTCTGGAAATTTCAGTTTTATGTTTTATGTGTAAGTTGATGATCCATTTCAAGTTAATTTTTTAGAAGATAAAAAGTATGGCTCAAGATTCATTTTTTGCTTATCAATATCCCATTGGTTGACCACCATGTTGAAAAGACTATACTTTCTTCATTGAATTGCCTTTGCACTTATATTGTAAATCAATTGACCATATATGCATGAGTCTATTTCTAGACTCTCTGTTCTGTTCCATTTATCTATGTGTCTATTCTTTCATCAATATGGCACTTGATTACTTAGCTTTGTGTATGTCTTGGAATCCAGTAGTGTGAGTCCTCCAGCTTTGTTCTTCTTTGCCAGGATTGTTTTGGCTATTTTAGTTCCTCTGCCTTTCCATATAAATTTAAAGACAGCTTGTTGATATCAATTTTTAAAATCCTACTGGAGTATTGATTTGGATTGTGTTGACTCTATAGATCAGTTAGGGAAGAATTGATATCTTAACAGTAACAAGACTTCTGATTCATAAACATGGTACATGTCTCTGTTTAGGTCTCTTTTGATTTTTTTTTTAACCCTAACTTGTAGTTTTCAGCATATGGGTAATACGCGTACTTAAGAATTTCATGTTTCGTGGTGCTATTCTAAATAGTACTGTTTTTTATTGTTTCGGTCTCCAATTGTTCATTGCTAGTGTTTTTTGTTGTTGTATATTGTTCATTTGCATCCTGCAGTCTTTCTACGCTTACTCATTGGTTCTAGTAGCTTACGCGTAGACTTTTAAAATATAAATCAAGGATTACATTGTAAACCGAGAATAAAAATTTCATTCCATATTTTTAAATCAGGATTGTAGGAGCAAACCGCTTCTGATTGTGCAGTTCTATTCATTGGATGACATATGTATCTGAGTGGGTAAAGCTTTGAATCTCAAACACATGGGTGGTAAAGCTTTATCTACTCACTGCTGCATGTGATCTAAGGTGCCTTGACTAAGTTCTGGACTTTTCCATCCAAGTCGACTTTAAAAAAAAAACCAAAACTTTCAGCCATGATATAGA